TTCAAAAAATGTGCGGATGGGGCGAAACTATTCTTCCACTGATGACAGCGAAAACTACAAAACAGTGTATTTTTTTGTGCTTGTTTCTAGGTTAGAATGGTATACTGAAAAAAAAGTTCTGGTTAGGGTATATTTAACTCGATATTGTAATTAAAAAAACCAGCATTCTGGTTAAATTAACTAGAATTCTGGTTAACCTAACCAGAAAAAATCTAGTTAGGGCATATTTAACACGAAATTCTAGTTAAAAACAGGTTTTCTGGTAATTCCAACCAGAACTTTTTTTTCATCTATATAATAAAAATTTATTTGTTAATTGGAGAAGTTTTTCTGGTTTTTCTCTTCCAATTTCTTATAAGAAATTGGAAGAGAAAAACCAGAAAAACTTCTCCAATTAACAAATTAATTTTTATTATATATAGATTTCGACGTAATGCAACAGACGCTTGTGAGACTCTTTTTTACCCGTAGGTCAAAACTGACCTTCAAATTGACCTAAATTTTGAGGGAAGAGCAGGTCAGAGGGAATTTTCTTGTCTATTTTTGACGTGTAGGTCAAAACTGACCTTTAAATTGACCTACATTCTGAGGGCAGGGGGAATCGTTTGTCAATTTTTGACATGTAGGTCAAAACTGACCTTCAAATTGACCTAAATTTTGAGGGCAGATAAGTTACAGGTCAACTTTTGACCTGTAGGGTAAAAAATCTTGAAACAGCGGGGGCGACCGCGTCGGCGATATCTTTTTGTAATATAGGGAGATAATTGTTTATAACTTTGTTAATATTTAGAATTAAATTTGAGAGTATCAAGATATGTGAACCCTATAGAAAAAGGTATTAAAATAAAAAACATTTTTTTTATATTCAATTGTTAAAATGTAATTTGTTTACAACAATTGTTTATAACTTTGTTAAAAATATTAAGAATTAAATTTCAGTTTCAAGATATATGAACCCTATAGAAAAAAGGATATTAATAGAAAAAACTGTTTCTTATATGTAATTGTTAAAATGTAATTTGTTTATAACAATTGTTTATAACTTAATTAAAAAATACTATTAGGGGGTCGTCCATATAGGGGAGAGTGGGGCAAAATGGGGTACCTTTTTGAAGTTGGCTGTTTACAGAGAACCAAACGAATAAACCGATTCAGCTAAACTTCAAAATTGTTCTTTGTACACTTAGCTTTGAGAAAATTATGATAATAGCGGAGAAAAAAATTTTTGAAAGAACTAATATCGTATTTTCTGAGAAAGTGCTAAAATCCCATTTTGCCCCACCCGTGGGGCAAAATGGGGTGGTATCAAATAACTATACAAAACATGGAATATTTTTTCAAAATTTATTAAATTCTTGTTGTATGAGATTATAAATACAAAACAAAAAGTAGGATTCTTTATTACTATGAAAAAACAAGTAATATTTATTAGAATTTAACAAAAAAACATCGATATTAAAAAATATCGATATATCGATAGTGAAACATCGATGGTATAAATGTCTCCAAACAAAAATATTGATTCTTCTGCAGGAAACCTTTAAATATGAGGCATTTTACGTGAAATGTCCTAAGTTGAAATTTCAACTTCTTGAAAAAAATTGAAACTCGAGGAATTTGTTGTTCTATCAAGTAGAAATGTGACCCAAAAAATATTTTTGATTTTTTCGAAAAATTGGATGGGGTAGAGGGGGGTCAATTTGACCAATTTTTCCAACATCGGCTACTTTGTGAATTTTTTCTGAACATGCTTGTAATGGGAAAAATTTTTTAGAATATGTTTCTGAAAGGTTTTTTCGTCCTCTTTCCAATGGTGTATTTTATTTTTTAATATTTTAAAAATTTACCCTAATTTTTGATAATTTATATTTAATTTTCAATTTCCCAAAAATCGGTCCGTTTTTTTTGAAAATAAATTATTGCAAACGAAAGCTGAGGTTTTTTCCTATCGGCATGTAAATTTTCAGAATGCCCTTTTTTGAGTTATTAAATTTCAAAGAATAAATTGCAGCGCGCTGCGTCGCGGTTGCACTGAGCCGCGTGGCAACCGGCGTGAGTCGAGGCGCCCGGGACGCAATTTATTCTTTGAAATTTAATAACTCAAAAACAAAAAAAAGGGCATTCTGAAAATATACATGCCGATAGGAAAAAACCTCAGCTTTCGTTTGCAATAATTTATTTTCAAAAAAAACGGACCGATTTTTGGGAAATTGAAAATTAAATATAAAGTATCAAAAATTAGGGTAAATTTTTAAAATATTAAAAAATAAAATACACCGTTGGAAAGAGAACGAAAAAACCTTTCAGAAACATATTCTAAAAAATTTTTCCCATTACAAGCATGTTCAGAAAAAATTCACAAAGTAGCCGATGTTGGCAAAATTGGTCAAATTGACCCCCCTCTACCCCATCCAATTTTTCGAAAAAATCAAAAATATTTATTGGGGCACATTTCTACTTGATAGAACAACAAATTCCTCGAGTTTCAATTTTTTTCAAGAAGTTGAAATTTCAACTTAGGACATTTCACGTAAAATGCCTCATATACATAATATAATGTTTTTAAATAGTTTTAATGAAACGGCGTAGCTTCCGGCATGCCCCACACTTAGATACCCCATTCTGCCCCACACTGCATATTAAAACAAAATGCAATGTTTCTAAGTTATTGTAAACAATTTAACAATCTATTCTATTGGAAATTACTCTAGAATTAGTACTGAAAAAGATCCCACACTTGCCAAATTAAATGCATTATCCTAAAAAGTTTTGTAAGCACTTTAATTTCGATAAACATTCATATTTTTTTTACTTAAAACTTAAAAGTTGTATAACTTTCAAAAAAAAATTTTTTTTGAGTGTCTTCATAATTAATAACAGTTTCTTATCAACATGAATGATATATGTCAAGGATAAAAAAATTAAAACTACCTATCATGGAAAAACAGAGGTACCCCATTTGACCCGCCTACCCCATTTTGCCCCACTCTCCCCTACCACGTGGACACTTTTGGGGGGAGGGGGGGTTAAAAAAAGTTTGATAATGTCCACGATCCCATGTATTTTTGTGTCCACAAGGGGGGAGGGGGGGTCAAAAATCTTTGAAAAACTGTCCACGTGGTTTTTGGACGACCCCTAGGTAAATTAAAGTTTCGAGAATCATTAATCCTTTAGAAAAAAAATAGTAAAAGTAAAAACGAAATTTTTACATGTTTACTTGTTGTTAATTTGAAATTTGTTTTTAACAATTGTTTACAAAGTTGTTAAATAATTGTGGTCAATAATTTTCATTTCAAAGATTCATTAAGAGAACAGTAAAATAATCGGTGGAAGAAGACACTATTTTTCAGCTTCAATTATTGTCAATTTTTAATTTGTTTATAAAATTGTTTATAACATTAATAAATAATAATGTTAAACAATTTTTATCCTCAACATTCATTGCAACTATCAAAATAAGAGCGATAAATTTTTTTCAATATTTGTGACTTTAAAAAAAACAATTTGTTTATAAAAATTGTTTAAATTATTGTTAAATTAGTTATATATAGTGATAAAATTTTATGATAGATGTTATTCGTATACTAATTTTAATCATTTGTGATGAGAAAATGTGTCTATAATTTATTTTCCTGACTATTGAAAATTCAAGATATTTTGTCAGACATTTTGAATTTTGAAAAAATTAAAATTTCTATCAATGCCTAAATGAAAGGTCATACATTTTGTCGCGATATATTGTCAGTCCAGTCAGTCCTTTTTACATAAGGGTAGAATAATGTACACAATTTATTTGTAGTCAAATCTATCAAACATATACTAAAATTCGTATTCTGATTGCATTTGCTTGAAAAGTCGGTTTTCTTACGTAAATTTAGGTCAATTTGTTTAAATAATTAAAAATTTGTTATTAAAAAAAATCCTGACGTGATGGAGAGAAACGGACAACGGATTTAGATTCAGCGACCAAAAATGCTTCAAGATTACATACTCCGGTTCCGTGAGAGTAAAAAAAAATTTTTGTGGTCCTGTGTAATTATTATTATAATTGATACTTATTTTTATGAAAATAAATTACAATTTGTTGTACAATCTATATGTAAAAATACACCAGAACGCAAGGAGGGGGAGTAAAAATATTCTCAAGAATTCATAAAAATTTGCGAGTTCTTCGATGAAAACAGGATTAAGGTCAACTCCAATCATTTTCGCTGTATTTTTTCTGTAATCTACACGTGAAAATAATATAAGAATGCCTAATGCCATTCCACTAGATAAAGAATTGTGAGAACCAGTAGGGGTACGGAACCTAAAAGTCGTGAAAAATAGTAAATAGTAGGTTTCAGTAGATGAGTGGACTCTTAATATGAAACTGATGCTTTATTCTGGATGCATAAAATAGTGAAAAAAAGAATGAAAAATCTGATTTATCGATTCATTTGCTGATCTAATCTCTCACGTCATCTTTATATAGTTATAGTGAAATGATTTAACAGACATCTATAAAGGCATCATCATTTTCTATACGGCTTCGTGCGTCATCGAGCTTTTCAAGATCGCGAGTGCGCAAAATAGTGTGATGGAACATTTCTTGCATGCACCGTGACAAAATCCCCCCTTGATTATATATATTTTTTCTTGCGAAAGAAGAAGGTCGTGTGAGAACTCATGCGGAAGACAAGAGTCATACGAGAAATGAACAAGATGCTAAAATATCGATAAGAAAAGGAGGAGAGAGAGAGGGAGAAATAGAGGAGAACTAGAGAGAAGGCGAGCAATGTGTTGTCACTGATATACCCATGCGGTCAAGTGTGAAGCCACTTGTAAAGTGTTACGTATTTTTATATATATATACATATAATGCCCGTATTTCTTTACAACGAGAGTGTTGCGACCATATACCACACTTTAAATCACTAAATATACCAAAGAGTATAAAGAAATATATGTATACACAGATCGCGTGACAAAACTAAGCAAACATTCAGTATCGAGAAGAACGTTACGCGAAAAACACGTGCACGCATTTTCACATTATTTCACTCAAATCAATATTTTTCAATTATCTCTTCTGTCTATACAGATTTTGTAAAGACTTTTTAAATTATTTTTTAAACTTCCATTTTCCTTCATTTAATAATTTTTTAAATTTACTTCTTTCTGAGAATTGAAAAATTTCCCCAAAACCATAGGTGACTTTTATCACAATACATTAATTTTTATTTTTTATCACCCAAAAAAAATTATCGAATTACTAAATTCATTAGACAGTAATTAAACCAATTTAATTTATTCATAATTATTGTAATTTACAATCAATTTTATTCACAATAACTACAAAGATAATTAAATTTATAATTGAAATTATTATTCGAAATAATTAACGACATATTAATTACACGATTGAATCGAATTTTGATAGAGTTACTACTTGTACGTTGTTAGTAAAATTAATTAACATAAATATTGTTATATACCATATGACCATAATTTAATATAATAGAAATAAAATATATATAGCTGCAGATAAACCACAATAATTTCGATTCTAATTAATAATGGGACCAGTGAGATAACAACAAATTCATAAAATCACTATAAAAATTTTAATATAGTTTGAAATATTGTATAAAAAAATGTTTTAAAAAACGATACGATACAGTAATAAAATATAATATGATAGAATAGTCATTATGTGTGTAAATTACGCGGTAAAAAAAATGTGGAGAAATAAATTAATTTTATTCATAATTGTCGTGATAATTGAAATTATTGTAGTTGAAGGAAGTAATAGAACTTTCTATCAGAAACGTATAAAAAACAGATTATCCGCAAAGACCTTAAAGAAAGATTTTAAAACATTAAAAAAACAGGAGGGTGCTCTCAAACTTGTGGATGGCGATCGAGGCATTTTTGAAGGTATTTTTTTCTTTGTTAGTTTTAATGATTATTTTTTAATTATAGGGAATACCATTGTATTCCTTGTAATTAAAAAGAATTTTTCATGTAATATTAGGTATAAAAAGGAATTTCAATTTTATTTATTAAAAAAGAAGATTTCTCAAAATAAGTAACAAATATTATTCTAACGCTACTTTTATTTTAAAATTCTATTTTTAAATAGAAGAAAAAATTAGTAAACTTTACTTAGGACTTAGTAATATTTTCTACGAAATAAATAAAATTTTCTATTAAAAATTGTTATTTCCAAAATAGGTATTATTAACCCTTTAACTGTTTGAGGAAAATACAACATGATTGTTCCAAAATGCCCAGCGGAATCTGATACTTTTTCAAATAGTATAATATATTTAAATTATAACTAATTATTCAATTATTTTCTAAAATATCATTAATGATCCTTATAATTTCTTATAATATTGATATAAAGAAAAATACAGGGAGAAAAAGGAATTATATAAGTTGACACATTTAGATACATGGATATCACAGCCATATTATATTGAAAAATACGGGATATCCATAGTTAAGGTTGCTGCATCCATATTCTATGGCTGGCTGTACATTGTTGGAGCAGCAAAAGATCTATGGTTGGGTGATCCATAGTAATGGAAATGGGAAACAGAAAATTGGAATCACTCAATTAATTAAATTCTATGTCACTTGAGATATTTTATACACATTTTTGTTAATTAATACACACCACTTATTGAATAACCGCATATTTACGAAATAAATTATTAACCGATGGGGGAGACACGAACCCTAGACCTAACGCATACTAAACACTAACGCTATCCACTACACTATACACGCAACTACAATATTTGAGCATATAATATTCCTTATATACTATACACATATTTCATGAAAATGAATTTACATAAACACTAATAGACAATAACGATAATAAATAATAAACAATTATAACACTATTTATACACAATAAACTCACAACGTGATTATATAGACGTGACAGGAAACCGACGCGACGGACAAATTGAGACGACCATTTTTAAATGGATGCCATGATAATGAATTGAGCGCAACATGTATTGAAACTTTGAACTAACTATGGATCTCCCAACCAAAGTTTATATGGATGAGGCAGCCATATGTGAAAATCCATAGCATGAATTGTAAGCCCAACCATGCCTATGGATGTCACATCCATATTTGATTCAACAATATAATATGGCTCCCTCATCCATTGAATATGGAATGTGCTTCCATTCTGAAAGTTGTCTCTTCCATTGAATTGGATAACACAACAATATTCTGCTCAACAATACACAGAAAAAAAAAGTCTGACTCCGTTTACACCTTAAATTCAGCCCATGTATTTCACATAAGTCTGTCCTTGTTTAATGGGGCTGACTCCGTTTACACCTTAAATTCAGCCTCGAAAACAGGCTAAAAGTAAAACTTTTTTTTTAGTGTGTATTTTTATGGATATCTCTTCCAGACCTTTTCTTTCCGTGTATCTATCAATTTATATACAAATTATATTTATTTTGAGTGATAGTAAACACGACCCACGGGTGGGTCGGAAACAGTTATGGCCATACTTTTTCACGACCCACCCGTGGGTCGGAAACAGGCAACGGGTTAACCTTTAAAAATAACTCATTATTAGTAAAATCCTGGTGGATTTTCTGCTTCAGCAAATTAGTAAAAAGTAATTGTTACTAGAAATAAGTATTTACTATAGTAAAAAAAACTAATTATTAGCAGAAAATAACTAACTATTTTCAGAAACAACTGTTTATTATAGTAAAAAATTACTAAATATTCTCTTTCAATTTGAATTATTAAAAATGTTTCAGAATTTGAATTAGTGACTGACTTTTTTCTTGTGAATTAGTAAATGTCACTAATAAATTAGTACCTAGTAATTATTACTACTCTCTAAAATTTAACCAGTCAAACTTGATTGATTTTCAGTGAGTATTCTTACCATTTCAATCAGTGAAATTTTACTGAAAATCATTTAAAAATTTTTGAAATATCAGTTATTTCTCACTGATTGTCCAATTAAGAAAAAACTGAAATTTTTAATATGTTTGACTGAAATTTTCAGTAATTTTTTAATTGTCCAATCAGTGAAAAATGACTGATATTTAAGAAATTTTTAAAAGATTTTCAGTAAAATTTCACTGATTGAAATCGCGAGAATAGTTACTGATTGTCAGTCAAATGTCAGTAAAATTTAACTTATTCAGATTAAGAGAATATTTATTAGTAAAATTTACTAATTCAAAAACAAAAAAAACGAGTCATTAATTCAAATTATAAAACATTTTTACTAATTGAAATTTAGAAAAGTTAGTAGAAAATAACTGATTATTAATAAATAAGAAAATAGTCAAATTTGTACTAATTGACTTAATTACAAAAAATTTTATTATTTTAACACAGTGAATTTAACTAGGGTGTTGTGCACGGAAAAAAATTAATCTCTAAATTAGAGATTAAATCTGAGATTTAGGCATAAACTATCACTGGAATCGGACGTAAGATGTAAGCAGATCACTAAAACTGAAATTTGGTATTATATCTAATCCGAATATTAGTATTGTGAAGAACACGTATTTCTTATGCCTAAAAATGATATTAGGAATCTCAAATTTTATGACATATGGAACATATGTTCTAAACTATCAACTTACTTGAATAAATTCAAATCTAATATATTATTTGAATTAACAATATTAAAAATTTTAGTCGTATGTTTATATAATTCTTATTTTTATAATAACTCGATGTAATAAGAATTTATAATTTATCACAATTTAGAGTGAGAATTATTCACAAAATATTTATATTGTTTTCCCTGTATGAACTATACATTGACAAGTATAAAAAAGTAGTTGGATATTTTTAAAACACAATACGAATTTTATATTTTTATTTCATTTTTTTGTTTTAACGGCGTTGGAAGGTCTGTAAAATTTGTAGGTTACAATTATCGCCCGACAAAATACGACACTGACTGATTTAAATGACGTGAAATAGGTAAATAAACATTTTTCAACCACTTTTTCTCTAAACACAGACACTTTTTACAAAATAGGCCAACATACAACGAGTAGGAATCTTCTTAATTACCTAAATTCAAAAGATTGTTTAAATTCATGCAGAAACGCGGTTGTAAAATGTAAAATTGGAAAGTGATGTAATGCTAAGAATATAACAGCTGGACCATTGTGCTCTCTGCATGCTTCTGCCCTCTTCTGGCGACTGGCAGTAATCCGCTTCTTCCCAGTAAGAAACGAAAAATTGAAAAGTATTAAAAAGATTCTATTCTTTTGAATGCCATTTCTGTCCAATACTTTTCTATCCAGTGAGAGCAATATGAAAAGTAACGATATCAATCCTCTTGAATACCCAGTAAGAAAGCAAAGATTAAGAAGCATTAAAAAAATTCTATCCTTTTGAATACCATTTCTGCCCTATGCTTCTGAATTCCGCGACAGTAGTATAATAATATAATACTAATATTATTGACATATAGAATGTTCAATTACTTTCAAATAACTGCACTCAAGAATTTATTTGCTATTTTAAAAAGGAATAATTATTAAATTATCAGTTAAGAGGGTTAAAAGTGTTTAAAGGTCTCTGAAATTTTTAGGTTATGATTTATTGTCTAACAGAATAACGGCCCTGACTCGTTTAAATGACGTTAAATTGGTAAACAATCAATTTTTCAGCAAGTTTTTCTTTGAACACAAACACTTCTTACAAAATCTGCCACTGTATGTATCTTATAGATTACAAAAATCCAGAAGATTGCTTGAATGCATGCAGAAACGCGGTTCCAATGAAAAATTGAAAAGTGATATAATGACAGGCTGTAATAATTTCGGATGGGATTGGAAAGCATTCAGAAAAAAATTTTGTCTTTGTTAAAAATTACAAAAAGAATTGAATAGCATTCATTTTTAGACGAAACGTGGTCCTATCATGGTATAGAAAAGTATTGGACAGAAATGGCATTCAAAAGTATTGGATAATTTCTACTACACCATACAGAGTTTGAATTATTTCAATCCTTTTCAATTTTTCGTTTCTTACTGGGTTGTTGTCTGTCATTACATTACTTTCCAATCATTTCCAATTTTACATTTTACAACCGCTTGACAACCGCGTTTCTGCATGAATTTAAACCATCTTTTGAATTTAGGTAATTAAGAAGATTCCTACTCGTTGTATGTTGGCCTATTTTGTAAAAAGTGTCTGTGTTTAGAGAAAAAGTGGTTGAAAAATGTTTATTTACCTATTTCACGTCATTTAAATCAGTCAGTGTCGTATTTTGTCGGGCGATAATTGTAACCTACAAATTTTACAGACCTTCCTTCACAGACCTTCGCTTTTATTTGGATATTTGAAAATAAAATTAATACTTAATTAATTAAAATGGTTTAAATCTTTTTTGTCACTGATTAACTTAAAACACAATGTACCTAATTCATATAAAAAAAGTTGTGAAATTAACAAATCTCTAAATCAGAGATGTGAATTTATGGCGTTTTCTGGTATAAAGTTTGACAGAATCAAACACAACTTATCACAGTAATTGTGACTAGGGTAAGTGTACTAATTCCTGCGGTATTTTGGTCAAGACGTCTTTTAACTATAAAATATAATTTTTATATTGATCAAATTGAACTTATGTCTTATTAAATTTGTAGTTTGTGTTATTAAGATATGTTTACAATAAATAACATCTCTAAAATATAATTTATTTTAATAAATTTAATGAATTAAAAATAATATTCAATGCGTTTAATTCTGCGCGTTTGAGTCAGTTGCTGCGCATCAGTTGCTGCGCGAATTTAATTCCTGTGGGTCAGTTTCTGCGCATAATTTCGTGTTTATGTGTATAATACCGCAAACTACTATGAAATCAAAATGGGACAATGATTTTAATCAATGCTTAATTGAATAGAATATAA